CTGGTTACAATCCGGTACGGGCCGTCCCATTTAGCTTGAAGCTTAGGAGATTTCCCTTTGCTGCGGACTGGATTGTGCAACCACACAAGTGAACCTTCGTCGAAACCTTTGTTGTTCATTTTGCGGTCATACCGGGTTTTCATCTTTTCAGACATTTGCTGGCCCGATTGTCTGACGTGCTCATAAACGTCATTCATTTTTTTCCGCAAGTCATTTGCATAATCGGTTATACTGCGTGGAGCATCGGGTGGTATCCCGGTGATCAGGTCTGCAGGCAGCCGTAATTCTCTTCCAAAGTTTGCGAAAGCTGGTGTCACTGCTGTACTTTCGTGAACAGAACTTCGATATGACAACAAAAACGGTTGTATGTGCTTGTCCCAATCTCGTTGCCGATTGTCTACAACTTTTGCTAGGTACCTCTCCAATGTCTGATTAAATCGTTCCACCATTCCATCAGATTGCGGGTGATAAGAAGTCGTTCTTGTTTTATGAGTACCCATAACTCGGCAAGTTTCCTGGAATATTTGAGACTCAAAATTCCTTCCTTGATCGCTGTGAATCTCTAAATGTACTCCAAAACGACAGAAGACTTCATGAACTAGTTTATCTGCAACTGTTGAAGCTTCTTGATTTGGAATGGCGAAGACTTCTGGCCACTTAGTGAAGTAATCAATCACAACCATGAAATACTTGTTACCGCTTTCACTCTCCGGAAACGGCCCCGCCACGTCAATGGCTATTCTCTCCCATGGTGCACCAACATTGTACAACTTCAATGCACCTCTACTACGAGTCTGAGGTCCCTTTACAGCCGCACAACTTGTACATTTGCGACACCAGTCCTCGACATCGTTTCGACAGTGGACCCAGTAAAACCGTTCTCGGATCTTCAGTAGAGTTCGTTTAACTCCCAGATGGCCTCCTGAACAATCATTATGGTACAGCTGTAGAACATCCGGTACTTTAACTTTAGGGACAACCATTTGCAAATGACAGCTGTCTCCCCGAACGTTTTCCCATTTACGACACAGAACTCCATCCTGAAGCAGCAAGCTGTCCCACTGGGCCCAATAGCTTTTAGTGGTCGAACTCATCGCTGAGACGTCACTCCACTTGGGCTGCACTGGCCTTTATCAATTCCAGAATCGGCTTGATGTCCGGATCTTCCTGCTGTGCATGTAGTAAGCTGTCCTTCCACTCGTTGCTGAGGTGGTCTGCCCTGAGCATCCTCACGGATACCACTTCCTTACTCTCTTGCCTAGTACAATGTTTGCAATCTTCAGGACAAGGTCTTCTTGACAATGCATCTGCGTTGCCATGAGATTTCCCGCTGCGATGTTCGATCTCAAAGTCGTATTCCTGCAGTAGTTCAATCCACCTCGCAACTTGTCCTTCTGGGTTTTTAAACTGCAATAGCCATTTTAGTGCAGCATGGTCAGTTCGTAAGTGAAATTTTCGTCCCAGAAGATATTTGCTAAAATGTTGCAACGACTTTACCACAGCTAGCAATTCACGTCTTGTGACACAGTAGTTCCTTTCCGGTTTTGACAACGACTTGCTGAAGTACGCTATCACGACCTCTTGGTCACCATTCCGTTGAGACAACACACCGCCGAGTACTATATCACTTGCGTCTGTGTCAACTATAAATTCTTTGCTTGCATCAGGGTATCCCAAAATAGGTGTTTTGCACAGACGGTCCTTGAGCTCCTGGAATGCGATATTGCAACTTTCATCCCAGCAGAACTGTCGTGCTGCAGATGGAGGAGCTACTGACGGGCCTGCAGCCGGCGGCTGGCCCTCCGACGTCAGCGACGTTGCACCACCAAATCTTCTTTGGTCCGTCTCCTGCTGGCGTTGATTTCGGGTACGGACACCCTCCGTTTCCTCCTTAGGTAAAATCGGCATGATTTTATCCCACTTCTGACACCAATTGTTACGAGCTTGAGGTTCGTGACAATAAAAATTGCCGATAAAATTACCTAAATTAACACTTTAATTTACTTTACACAATTAGAGTTAAAACACTAATAATTTAAACACACTAATTCACTTAATTCCACTCCGAAGCTTCGCTTGTTTCGCCCAAATCAACACTGCCTCGATCGCATCATGCAGCGCCTGTATATTTGAATTAGCAAAGAAATATCCAGAATGTTCAAGTAAACACGCGGAAGGTACCGAGCGTTCGAGTTTCGACTAGGCGCTGTCAGTTGAGCGATTTGTGATGTCATTTTCTCAATGCTCCCCTCGCTCTCGTTCCTGACACTAGATGGCGCTAGTTGACTTATTCATGCAACACTATATTAAGAAAAATCGACCAATCACAGCGCGTCTTATCGTAGAACTCTCTAGAAGTTTTTCAATTAACTGCGTTATAGTTCATACTAAAAATAATGAAAATAATTTTATGTTCTAAAAGAGTTGTAAATATGACATTGAATTAGCATATGACTTATAGATTAAAGAAGTGTAGGAATATTTTGTATAATTAAACACATTTGATAGTTATATAAAAATTAAAGAATTAATGTACCCAAATATTATGAAAATTTGCGACATTTCGTTTAATAACTTTTTACAATGTTAATGTTTTGAGGAACCTTTATGATATACTAATAAAGTACCGGCCTACCGATTTAATGATGTATAGCATGTTAGTGTAGCAATTAGTTTTGTATAGAAAATATTGCAATTTATGCCACTTGTATAGTGAAAAGTTTATGCAATAAAGAGGCAAAACGGAAAATGGCAAGTGGCTCGCATATTCGCAGTTACATATAGTGAAAGTGTTAGCTAGCCGAAAAAGGTCGTAACTGATATTCGCAGTTACACATAGTGAAAGTGTTAGCTAGCCGAAAAAGGTCGTAACTGATATTCGCAGTTACATATAGTGAAAGTGTTAGCTAGCCTAAAAAAGGTCGTAACTGATATTCGCAGTTACATATAGTGAAAGTGGTAACTGATATCCGCAGTTACACAAGTGATAAAATCAGCTAGTTTAGTTGATAATAGCTGCTAGTCAGTAGTGTTAGAAAACCAGCTACTACCAATAGACTTTTGATACTACCGTACAATTTAAAGAAATCTTTTGAAATATACAGTGACCAACCAAAAGTGAACAACCGTAGTTCAACAACCGTGGTCAATAGTCGAACCGCTGGCCACTACCTTGCTATTTGTATTTATTAATCGTGCATTTTGATTTCAACCTCAGTCCACAATATTTCAGCGGCACCCACAAAGACGGCAGTGAAAGTACCCACCGGAACCTATCGGTGTAGGACGTAAGCGACTCGCGAAGTATCTTCGACAACATTTACTCCGGAGAATTTCGCCTATCCGGCACAATTGTTATAGGAAATAATTATGTTATCGCCCATTCCTTGCTTTGTTTCCATCTATTGCCTCTTACGACAGCCACGTGATGTGATAGTGGATATTCTAACACCGCCACTATGTTCCTGGAAGGTAAAATAGCAGTAGTAGTTAGTATAAGAGTATCCACCACTCATATCACCCCGCGAGATTTCCCTGACAACAGCTCAAAAATATTATAAAACAGCGGCTGCCACGAGTGGCAACTACGGCAAAATGTTCAGCAGTGGATCTTTAATTGGCTGTAATAAATGAATGAATTTCTATTAATTTTTGGTCAGTAATAACTATAATAAATTTAAGTTAAACTTGATCCAGATATATAATTTTATTAAGATAAGAGAGTTCAGATAAGAAAGAGGTTAACTTATATATTTACTTAATCAGCTGCTTGAAGCAAAACAGCGTGAACGAACGCTACAAAAAACGCTTTGAGTATTCAATCAACAAAAAAACGTCACAAAAAAGTAGGTACATTGATTGAAACACTCGCTCCTCGAAATCACAACTAAAAGAACTTTAAAACTAATTTTGTTTATTGAAACATCGAGAAATATTTTTTAGGCAGAGATAGTAAAGTGGCTAATATAATATGTAAAAAATGTACAATGTGGTTATTACAATCTAATAAATAAGAATTAATATTTCTTTTTTTTTATAAAAAATATTAGTAATCATATTAATTAACGTTACTAATATTCCTTTTAACCACCCCCGGTAAGCTTGAAACGCTTGTTAGGGGTGGTTCACGACAATAGTCAAATGGCGGATTCGTACCCACGACCTTTTGAGTTCGCGATCCGCGCCCTGCCATTAGGCTACTGTCGCTTAAATATTTATTTGTTCGTATTTTATGCGCTACCATATGGTTCAAAAGATTACGGTAAAACTTTGTCTGTATATTGCTTGCACTTCCGCACAAGTAATACGAAGACGGAGCAGATCGCTAGATAAAACCAAGCAAGATTTTAGCCGACTTCAAAAAGGAGGAAGTTTTTTATTCGGCTGTACGATGTTTTTTATTCGGCTGTATGATGTTTTTTATTCGGCTGTATGAAGTTTTTTATTCGGCTGTATGATGTTTTTTGTAAAAATATTACTCGATATCTTCGTCAATTGTAAACCTATTTTAATGATATTCTTCTTTGTTATATAGACTGTACATTAGAATGGTATTCTAATAGTAGAAAGATATGGGTTAAAGATTTCAACTTGTATATTATATTCCTTATTCTACTTAAAAGGGTAATAAAGTTAGACTCCCAACAAAAAGTAAAAGCCAGTTTCAAACAACTAAAAATACAATATATATATATATATATATATATATATATATATATATATATAGTAACGCCTGTTTCTATCAACTACAATATATCTTAGCACCGACTTATAGGATGTCGTAATATTATGTAAACTTCGCTTAAAGACAGATATATAATACTGATATTGCGTACAATGAATCATTTGTCGGAATGACTTCCTAACGAAATATTAAAATGTTGACAACAGAATTATTTTTTATATTATGTGCTATAAATATTAGCATTGAAGCAGTAAGAATTTTGGCAGTATATCCATGCCCTTCAATAAGTCACCAAATAGTATTTCGGCCCCTAACAATGGAGTTAATTAAGCGAGGACATGAAGTTACAGTGATAACTCCAGATCCTTATTTTAAAAATAACACTGCACCTAAAAATTTAAGAGAAATTGACGTCCATGATATCTCATACAAGATTATGAAGGATTTCATTCCTACTGTTACCGGAAGTGATGATGATTTGATAAATCAAGTGGTTACCATTGCTGGAATGATTATTGACATATTAGAAAAACAAATGAAGGTGAAGGATGTCCATGACCTTATTATCGATAAAAAACGACCGTTCGATTTGATACTTTTAGAAGCGCTTTTTGTACCACTACTAGGATTTACACACATTTTCAAAGCACCGACAGTCTTAGTAAGCTCTTTTGGACCATTCATTGGAAGTTATGAGATAATGGGAGCACCAACGCATCCTACAGTGTACCACAACATGTTTCGCCAAAGACTATATAATTTAAATTTATGGGAAAAATTTACTGAACTATGTAAACATTTTCGTATTCGATACATTTTCAGTTCCAGAGAGGAAAATTACAATAAACAGATTAAAAGCATATTTGGCTCCGATACTCCACCTCTGAGCGTTTTAAAAAATAATGTTGATCTTTTATTGTTAAATGTTAATCCAATTTGGGAAGGAAATCATCCAGTACCACCAAATGTCATACATATGGGAGGATTACACCAAAAACCTCCCAAGGAATTACCAAAGGTAAGTTCATTTATAGAAATTTTTTAGTTGACCAGTTGGTATGTATGAAAGTTAGCACGCATATTTTATTGTAATAAAATCTAGTAATTTTGACAGGTTAATACGTTAAGTTGAAATTTTTAAGTATCTCAGAGTAAATTTGAGTTTTGTTTTAAGGACTTATAATGTCAGCCCTTTTGTCAGTCTTACATAATGTGAAGTTAAAAAAAAACACATAATTCAAATTAATTTAATATCAACTGAATTCAGTGAGCCGTAAAAGGTTAACTAATTTACTACTGTTTACCCATTTCCACTAAAATTACGCTTGCTGAATTTGTTACACCAGGGAGCAACTTAGCATACTAGAATATCTCCTGTGGTACTATTGCACGTTAATCTTTCTCCTCTGTTTATTAATTTCCTTTTTGGGTCTTCTGAATGAAATTAAAAAGAAACAATAAGACCATAATATTTTGTTCTTCAATATTTGTATATTTTATTTTATATTTTTCTCACTGCACAATAAAGAGTACAATAAATAGAAAACTTGTGACGTAAAACATTGCTTACCTACAAAATTTCATCCAAGTCGTTGGAGCTACTTCCACATGATTTTTTTTACTTAAACTTTTCAAAAAAGTAATAAATCGGTTTGACTGTATGTCGATATAACCATGATTTTCTGTAAGAATACTGCAACTAATTTTTTTCGACTAAAGCTTGTAGTACGAATAGCGCCATAACATATAGGTATGATAACTCCGTTAACAAAAAAAATTAGGAGTAATCGAAGGCGAAGGAAGTTCACTGAGATTACGTGGAATGGTTGTAATACTCCAACTACAACTAATAGTCCAACAACAACTTATTAAAATTATAATGTTATATATTTTATTTACGCATGTGCAAATATTTATCGAAATTTTGAAACTATATGATGTTGAAATTTTTTTCTAACGCCGAGTAAATCTCGGTCGCTGACAAACAGGTACTATATATATTTATTTCTTATATTATTCGGCTATCAAAAATGTATTACTTATATCTGATACGTGATGTGAAACACCGCACAATATTTAAATAATATATACCGTGTAATATTTCATTAACATATTTTTCTCAAACTATAAAGATATAAGCTGTTTAAAAGGATTAGGTTAGTAGGGCAATATGAATTTCTATTTACAAAAAACAATTGCTATCCGGTAGTCTCACAGAAACTCGAAAATGGCTGGACCGATTTTGTTGATTTTTTTTTTGTGTGATGGTGAGTCTCTGGATAGTTTAAATTCGCAATTGAATTCGGTAGGTAGCACTGTTGTATAAATTTGGAAATCACCCGTGTAATGCTAGGGCGGATGGCTAGTCTTACATAAAAGTACAATTTCATAAATAAAATTTGATTTAATTTGACATTACCTATAAATTGCTGTTATGAACCTAAAATGATGTCTATTGTAGGATCTTCAGCAATATCTGGATGCCTCACAAAACGGTGTTATTTACTTCAGTTTTGGAACCAACGTTCCACCATCCGCGTTATCCCAAGAAAAATTTAAAATATTTGAAAATGTTTTCTCACAACTCCCGTATAATGTGATATGGAAATGGGATAGTAATGTAAAATCCGTAAAATCAAAAAATATAATAATACACAAATGGCTACCACAATCAGATCTTTTGAGTGAGTAATTTAAATTAACCTTTGACGATATTTATTATAATAAAAAGATAAACATGGAAGAAATTTCAAAATCGTAATGCAATTACTTTCTCCTTTTTAGGACATCCAAATGTAAAATTATTTATAACTCAAGGAGGTTTACAATCGACAGACGAGTCGATTACTGCTGGTGTACCACTTATAGGCATACCAATGTTAGCAGATCAATGGTATAATGTAGAAAAATATGTTTATCATAAAATTGGTATAAAGCTTTCCTTAGAAAAACTTACTGAAAATCAATTGAAAAATGCAATTATAGAAGTTATTGAAGATAAAAGGTAACAGCTATTTTTTAATATTTAAATTTTGAATCACGACATACCTTCAACAAATAAAAGAAGTTATGCTGTTTAAATATTATACACCGAATAAAGAAGTAAAATAAAATTACAGCCTATTTGCGTTTCACTTATAACCACAGGCCTCTTCTCATTTCTAAAAGGTTGTGGAGCAATTTGTCCGCCTCGCTGGTCTATTTATGAGGGAATGGTGCATGTGACTCGCCTGATCTTAAGTGACTACTGCAGCCCATGAACAATTGTAACATCTACCGACAGCTACTCCTATCGACAAAAATCCCACAGTAACTTCCTGAGTTTTACGTGGGACCACCAATTTTTGCGATCCCAAAGGCCCTTTTCTGGTAGGCCATCACTATTTACAATCAAAGATAGCCATTCCGAGGTAGCCCTGCATCCTTGAAATATCTTTACACACATGGCTTCGACTTAATAGTCTCCACTTTATTTGGCGTTTTCAATCTCTACCGGGAAGAGCATGCTAATCTTTCTTTCTTCGTTTTGTATTGTGTATGAAATTTTCATAGTCGAAGTTTGCCCAACATTATTCTTAATGGACGTCCCTATGGAATAAGAACGGGTTTCTGAAACTTGTGGGTAATTGCAAGTCTGCAATCAATTTCGAATAAAAAAGGTTATCACTTCTGAGGGCAATGATGAGATACTTAATAGGTAATATGCAATTTTACTGACTCTAAAAAGCTAAGCTCTGTTTGAAGGAGGTAACAAAATGTGTGATCTACTACTTGGTGGCAGTTATACTATTGGTGAAAAGAACATTTAAGTACCATGTAAATATTTATTTTAAACTTCCCTTTTTTCAGTTATCGTGAAAACATCGCACGACTTCGCTCCTTAATGCAAGATCAACCGCAGGCGCCACTGGATCGTGCTTTATGGTGGATAGAATACGTACTTCGACACGGTGGAGCTAAACACTTGCGATCACCAGCTGCAAATATGTCATGGATTGAATACTATGAATTAGAGCTTGTCTTTATACTTCTATGTAGTATTTTGATATTTATAGGATTAATAACTTTTCTCATTAAATATTCAATATCGAATGCTTCCAAGTATGTAAAAAAGAAACTACATTAAAAATACATTATAGCATTTGTAGTAATTTTTGGTTTATATTGTTAACATACATATTATTTTAATGACGATTATATTACTATTGTTAGGCCTCTGTCACTCTTGCTACCTGCGTGAAATATTTACCTAAAATCGCGATTCACCCCGGGTTATAAGCAGTCAGGCCTAGCGCGTTTTAGACGATTGATGTATTTTAACGCTGTTTACGTAAATAGTTTTTGTAAACACTTGTTGTAATTTTTGTTTAGTGTTTAGTATTTAATTGTAGGATAAAATCGTTCAAAAATTTTTAATGTGATTTTAAAATAATATATTTGTATATAACTTATCTATTTGATAAGCAAAACTTCGAACCGACTATAATTGTTTCGTGGATGGATGCATAATGAGCAAACAAAAGGATTCAGATATATCATTTTTTAAGTTACCTAAAGATAATGAAAGATACATTTATTTCATTTTTTTAAATAAATACTTATAGAAAAAATAATTACGTAATAATTTAAATTCAGAAGTAATACCTAAGCACATTATTACAAAACTTAGTTGAAAATTACGAAACGTACGTACGTAATTTACGAAATTTACGTAGGTAAATTGAAGTAGGTAACTTACATGTCTTTTGTAATTAAAATATTTTAAGTTATCACAAAGCACTGAAATTAAAACTTTGTTTACAAGATTTTTTAACTAATTAGAATACAATCACATTTTATTTAGGAATAGTATTTCAGGTTCATTTATTGTTTACACTACCTACCTATTTCTTCCGAGCGATTTATTAATGGCGATTCGCGACGAGTGACCTTGCACGTTGCATGCGTTAGGCACAGAATTCATATCGTAGCAAAATATGTTCATTCGATCAGTCAGAATAGGATAAGATACCTATCTTACCTATTTTACTTACCATTTTGCAACGTTTAATTATTTTATTTATTTATACTCTTTATAGCACACAACATATAAATTTATTTACAATTAGATGGCCTCATCGCTTAAATAAAGAGTAAAAAAAAAATAGGTAAGATACCTATTCAGACTGATCGAATGAATATATTTTTAATTTGAAATACAAAGAGTTATGAACAACATCTTTTAGAAAAGAACTAGCAAGAGACCACAAAGAAAAAGACAAGAACAGAAATGACGGAGTAATTGTAGCAGTATATGATTTTCAAGCTGTTATGCAGGTTCCAAAGGGTCAAGTTTTCTTGTTTTTCTACAAATCCAGAATTAATTGTTTAAATTTCACAATAAGTGATCTGTCGGCAACAGATGTAATATGCTACTTGTGGTATGAGACCGAAGGGAAAAGGGGCGCTGTAGAAATAGGCTCATGTGTTCTAAAGTATATTGACACTTTATTAGATAAAAATCCTGATAAAGACATTGATATTGTCTTCTATTCCGATAATTGCTGTGGGCAGCAAAAAATAAATATTTACTTTCTGCTAATGCTTATGCTGTTGTCACTAAACGAGTTGCGTCGATAACGCACAAATTTCTTATACGTGGTCATTCTCAAAATGAGGGTGAAAATGTTCACAGCGTCATAGAAATACAAATAAAAAGGCACATTAAATCTGGTCCGATTTGCACCCCACAACAATATTGCACTTTGATACGTACAGCTAAAAAAAAACGGGCAGTCCCTACCTAGTGCAAGAGATGACGTCTGAACAGTTCTACGATACTAAAATCTTGCAAGAAGAGTGGGTACCACTTTCAATTTAGATGAAGACTGTAATCAAGTTAAATGGCACGACATTAAAATCTTAGGGGGGGAAAGGAGAACCAGGGAGCATTCTTCTATAAAACGTCATTTGCAGATGAAAATTATAAAAAGTGTTTATGCGCAAACGCCGAAAAAAAGATGATCAGATAGGATTTACAGGGCTTACACAAGCCTACACTCATAAAATACCACTCTCTGAGGCAAAGATGAAGGACATTAAGGATCTAATAAAAAAACACGCAATCCCACAGGTTTATGTAGATTCATATTTTAAAAATGTAGTTGGTAATAATAACTAATTGCTTTTGTTAATTGAGTGCTTAATTTTAAAACCTGGATGTACCTTTTAAGTTCATATCTAAAAGAATTTAACATTTTATTTTGATTTTATTAAACGTTTTATTATTTTGTTATTTAGGGTATGTAGTAATAAGAGACTAGTGTTTTTAAAGGTGGGCAAAGTGATATCCACGTAATTTTAATTGTTGATCTCAAAAATAACAAATTATAATTTTTGTTTATATAATAATTAAAATTTCTAAGATGATTCTATTCTTTATTTTTTTATAAACAAGATTATAAATCTTATCATTTTAAGTACATGAAAAAACCTATGTTATTTTGAAATGTTTACCTTCTTTGTTACTTCCTGTAAATTTTAATATTTTGAGACATACTTTGTAATTTATTATTAGCTTCAAATAACATGAGAGCCTTGGTCCTAATTTAATTTTGAAAATATTTTTTTGGTTCTTAAATACCATAGTGTAATAAGAAAATCATTCCCTTAATTATACAATATATTGATGCATAATTTTTGTGTTTTAGTTTATGTTGTTTCATTTGTAATGTATATTTTTAATGTTATTACTCTTTTAAGTTAGTTTTGTATGAAGAGTCGTTACCTTAATTTTTGTTCTAATATAAGTTCAACTCAAAATGGTTCAATAAAACTGCTTCAAGTCTAAATGTGGTCTTATTCGTAAACAAAGTCACCACCCTAAAGTACAACAACTCAAAAAATACTGATTATCGGTAAAAAGGCTCGATTTTTAGCCCCAGCTTACATACGGTGATATTTTCCTACGTATTTATAATGTAAAACAATATTAAATTTCCTAACTTCCCTAACAAAAATGCAGTAACACGTTTACTTCGTCTCCTGAAAAATTACCTTTTTTGAGTTTTGGTCTAGGGGCGTTATACAGTAAATTTGCCTACAAAATGCCGTCCTGTGTAGATAACAGGTGCAAAATTAAAGTGAACAAAAAGTCTGAAGCAATATCGTACCCATATAATACTATTTTAGGACACTGTATTAATGAAAATGTCAATGTTTAATTACGATATAATGTTCGAAAATTTAATTTTGCATTCACATCCAAATAATTTAACCGAACTACTGTATTAACAGTAATTTTCGGGTTATTTCTACGCATACATGGCAGAACTTATGCATTAGCATCAAATGACTCGTAGACACTCATGTAACTATATTTCAATTTGTTATTCCAACACAATTATGAAGGTTATTCGAAGCACGAATGTCAGTGTTTTGAGATACCGTAATGGGAGAATGTTGCCAGTATTTCTTGTTTCTAATGGTCCAAGATTTGGGTAATTAATTTTAGGCTAAGTTACAAAAATATATGTAGTCAGCATTTTTTTAAATTAGATGTTATGTTACATCAAATTGAAGTCAGGGTAAATATTTAATTTTTTAAGTCAATCTATCAAAAAATCTTTATGACTAGCTGTTACCCGCGGCTTCGCCCGCATGGTCACTGGGAAATGAACTATCTATTGCTTTTTGAATTGAAAGAAAGCTGAGTTTTATTAATTTGTCAGAGATGCAGCCATTAAAAGGAAACTGAGCAAAATTGATTCGTCAGCCTATTTAAATGTTTTGAAATGCAGCGTATAGGAAAGCATGAAAATAGCCTGTTTATTCCAAATAGAAATGGGATATTTTTTAATTAAAGGAAACTGAGCAAAATTATCCGTCAGGGATGCAGTCTTTTGAAAAGAAACTGAGCTAAATTGATTCGTCAGAGATGCAGTTTTCTGAATTGAAAGAAACTGAGTCAAATAAAAGATCCGTCAGAGATGCAGCCTTTTGAGTTGAAAGGAAATTAAGCTTAATAGGTCCGACAGAGATGCAGCATTTGAAATCGAAAAGAAACTGAGCTAAATAGGACATATTGAATTTAAAGGAATGAGCTGTGGGAATTCTGATTAATTGATGAATTTTGAAAAAAAAAACTAACTGAACACTATTTTAAGACGCTACTGTACACAATGTTATATGTTTTTACATTCGGGGAAAGAATGTGGAGATTTTGGGCATTTGACACACGCGGACATGCTACATACAGCTGACCATGAGAGAAGCACGGTTTTTCTAAGTTGACCCCCGCTACCTATAACGTTTGCCCTTGCGCTTTATTAATTGTCATTGCAAAACTGAGCTTAGTAGGGAACTGCAACCTTTTGAATTGAAAAGGAAGATCTGTGGGAATTATAGGGATCCGTGGTATAATAACATTTTCACCTTTTCCTACCCCTGTCAAAATTGTAGCACCGATTATGTTCCGTCCAAGATGTGTCACACGCAGCCTTGTCCCGTTACATAGCCAAGGAGCATCTAAATTTCACATTAGCATGACTGGGACGCCTAATTTTAATTGAAGCTTGTGTGAGGGTACACCTGACAACTCTAGAGAAGAGAAACTCTGCGGGATATGAAGTGCTCTGTTCTGTGTCCATAACAGTGTCTACTAACTAATACTCTGTTATTTCTCCTGCTACTTCGCTTAATATATCTGAATTTATTTTGTTAATGCTCTCCTTTTTTGGTGCAAGAATCGCCCTTTCACATAACCATTTGTCTTTATGCATGTTGTTCGTTAAATTTGAATCGCTCGCAATTTTCGGAATGACTCTGTACTAAATTACAAAAATCTCTCGTCAATTTAACGCAGCCCTCAGCATCCGTTTCCAACCGCCCATCGCCAATTTTTAATAGTATGTCAGCATAGTTTCCAGCATTGATATCATTATACAAATGCACTCTCATATTCGTAGTTAAACTGAATTTTGTCACATTGTTCAATAAAATAGACGACTCGAGGCATGCTTTAATTTCATCTGCAGGTGTGCCCTTTTGAATGACAGGTAAAGTTTGGCGAAAGTCACCAGCCAGTAAAACCACCATTCCTCCAATTACATCGGTATTGCTGCGCAAATCCTGGAGCGTTCGATTTAGTTTTTCTACAGCTTTTTATGGGACATTGTACTTTCGTCCCACACTAAAAGTTTGCATTGTCGTAGCATTATACCTCGTGCACTATTTTTGCTAAAGTTGCAGATCGGCGATTCTTCCTGGGCTAGATTTAGAGGGAGTTTTAAAACAGAATGTGCGGTGCGGCCCCCGCTTAGCAGCGTGGCGGCTGTACCGGAGGAAGCTACGGCCACAGCAATGTTTTTATCTTTCCGTACTTGCGTTAATAATAAATTTCACAAAAATGTCTTCCCAGTTCCTCCAGGGGCATCTAAAAAGAAAAGTGCACCATTTCCAGATTCAATTTTTCCTAATACTTTAGTCAAAAACTCATTTTTGTTCGGGAAGCAAGCGGGGTACAAATTCGGCTACTTGCTGCTGCAAAGCTGGTATATCGTAGTTATTTTCACATATAATTTCATCACTTAGTTCATTTTCGGTTGTTCGCTGGGGGCTTATTATTCCAAAGCCGTTTAATTTTTTGCCTATCATTGCCATTACTTTATCTTCAATTTTTCCAAGTGGTTAATTATAAATGTGTTCATTGTATGTCATGTTCGCGTGTGTCTGCTGTAACCTTCGCAAAATATTTTCCGCCATGTACTCTTTATATTTGTTGCACAATTTATGTGCATTAGATAGCCCGCAAGATGATATGAGAGTTGCATAAAGATCCCTAATTTTGGCTAGTGACTGGCACTGCACAGCTTCCTCCATGGTGTCATCAAAGTGATTAACGTTTTCTAAAAGATGCAGAGCTTCACAAGCTTCTCTATAAGTTGCGCATTCCTGACCTTTGACAGTTTCAAGGTCTTTATATCCTGTAAGACCCCGAACATGGTGCAGCAGCAATCGTAAACAGAAACATTCAAAATTAGTTACGTGGACGGTATACACACGACCAAGGGCATCTGATGACTTTACAACGGGCCAATATGCAACAGGCGCGCCTTGAATATGGCGTTTCCACTCCTTCCTAGATTTGTTCTAAGTATAATAGCTGGGGACTTCAGAATATAACAACGTTTTATCAAAGGGGTCGATTTGACAAAGTTGAAAGAAGGCTGTTAGTGTAGTTTTTGGCGGTGATGCAATTCTTTCTTGGAAATTTCTTTCGGTGAAATATACACGCTCTCCATTTTCTAAGTGCACAGCAAGGTGAGTAACTGTTGGGTGCCTTTCGTGTAAAGAGAAGCCAAGGAGACGCCACGCTGTCTCGTTACTGCTGACATAACGCCCTGCTTGAAAGGTCTGTACTTCATTAACGGGATTTGCCTCACCTTCACTCCTGAGATTAAATATTGCTTGGTCGCTTCCTTTATTTATGTACTTACAGATATAATTGATTGCGCGGACAGAGCTACATGCTTCTAAATTAATGTGGGCATTAAACATTTTACATAGAATGGACGAATACGGGACAATCCAGCCTTTATCTAAGGTTTCGAACGCTCCAGAGCGAGATTTGATTGTAATTT